AATAATTAGAACATTGTATCTTGAGACAAAAATGAATGTTTATTTTTTTAAAAGGCAATTAGAGACTAGCCCCTCAGGTTTTACAATCTAACTACAAAGACACTATTCCTCAGTAAAAGAGCAAAATAATTAACAGTAACATTTCTGACCTATACCAACTTCATTTCCCACAAACTCAAGAAAATGAAATGCCTACGGCATGACTTTAATCTAATCTTGATTTTTAACCTTATTTTATGCATATTGATATCAGCTCTTAAAAGAGCTCCTTTTAGAATTCAAAAGGTATGCATTTCTGCTTGTAGTTTTCTTTTATTAAGATTTTACTCATTATAGGAACTTTGTCTCATCTACTTTTTCCTTGAGAAACCAGAGATCTAAATTACCTTTACTTGTAGGTTTTAATTAAGGCCCCATTGCCGTAAATACATAGCATAATGCATGTTTATACAGATAATTATGACAATTAACTTGATCATAAACAGAATTATTTAGTGAAACAAGAATTGGTAGATTAATTGTAATAACAAACTTAAAGAGGTTTGTTAAGAGATCCTGAATAGTGGAGTTTTAATATACCCTGTTTTCTGGGGGGGGGGGGGGAAATATACCAAAATGTAAAATAAATAAACATTTTTTTCATAAATATAATCACATATGTGTGTGTGTACATTTGTATGCCTAAGTGTGTAAAAGTTTTAGAAATCGTTTTTTAAAAATTTTTTTGTAGTTGTAGGTGGACAGAATGCCCTTATTTTGTTAATTTTTATGTGGTGCTGAGGATCGAACCCAGTGCCTCACATGTACTAGGCAAGCACTTTGCCATTCAGCCACAGCCACAGCCCAGTAGTTTTAAATTTAAATACACTATGGTAGACTATTCTTTAAAGCAATCCTAGAATAGATCCTTTTGTAAAACAATAAAAATAATATCTTCCAAAAAATAATTTTCTGTGATTTAGAGGTTTATAGCATACTGGGTTCGGCTGAATCTTTAAAAGTCACTGGGTGTCTACTGCTAAGCAAAAGGTTTCTCTATGAAATTGAAGATATTTTGGAGTTATTTTATTAATAATTATGATGAGTTAACATTATAGCTAGAACTATGTTGTATGATTGCTAAACTTCTCCCTCCTCCCCAAATCCTCTGTGTAATCTGGCATAGTACTCATAATGCTGGTGAGATCTGTCCATTATCTACCATGTGCTAAGCTGAGCTCAACACATGGGGTACCAAAGAAATAAGCTTTCACTCAAAGAACTTAAACTGATTGGGAGGAACCTGCGTTTAGACAAACATGAAGAAACTCAAGAGAACTTCCCTTGTAAAACATTTGACCAGAAAGACCCAAAGCTGAATATCCCCCAGGATTGGGAGTGGGAGAAGGCCCCTGTGCAGGTGTGGGATTCCCCTGTAGACCCTCACCACATCCCATACAGCCCTTCTGTACCCTCAGTGGCCATTCCTTTCTGGGAAAATCCATATTAAAGGACACAATACATAATCCAGAACTTGTTGTACTTGGCCATAAAAAATACAAATGGTGTCTATAATAGATGTTGCCAAATGGACTGGAATTCAACTACCATTTCTATTATCAATCCTAAGAAATGAACAGTGTTATGTTGATTCAAGTGGATATTTATAAATGACCAGGAAAAAACGCATGTATGTCCCGGTTGGTTTGGCAACATTTAAGATCTTTCCCATGTGACACGAATGGCCATCTTATGGTGCCTGGCACTGCTGCTGAGAGCCTTGTCATACAGATGAACTGTGACCCTCCTCCATGATCCTCACATCCTCGAGTTGCCCTGTCCAGTACAGTACTCCTTCTTGACAAACACATAAAAGCCCCAGGTGAGTTTTGCCCAAGATGAAATTCTAATTGTAGTTAGAAATATTTGAGTCATTTAATCCAACTTCCCTTCTGACTCATTTAATGATTCATTTTGCACAGCAAGGATCGATTACCATAGGTGCCCACTCTGGGTCAAGCACTGGGAGAGGCATTTGAAGTTCAAGATGACATAAGCCACCACATTTATGTCTAACAAAGCTCACATTAATTAGGGAATGCCACAGACATGGGAAAGTGCAGCGCTCCCAAGTTGTATGAGGGCAAGCTATCGGAAGCGCCTCTATTGGGGGAACTTACAGGAAGATCGAAGAGAAAGAAGAGCCTTCTAGCCACCAGGACCCGCATGTACTGATGCTCTGGCAGCCAGTGGAGAGAGCAGAAAATGAGGGGTGTAAGGTATGAAGATGTGGGAGAACAGGTGTCTACAGGTGATATGAAGGGCTTTCCTCTCAGTCCTAGGAGCAGCAGGGGAGTCACTGAAAGCCTTGGTGAAGGAAAGGAAATGACAGACTTACATTTGTATAAGACCACCTTGGCCCACACCAGTAATCCCAGTGGCTCAGGAGGCTGAGGCAGGAGGATCGCAAGTTCAAAGCCAGCCTCAGCAACTTAGAGAGATGCTCAGCAACTCAGTGAGACCCTGTCTCTAAATATAAAAAGGGCTGGGGACGTGGCTCAGTGGTTCAGCGCCCCTGAATTCAATCCCAAGTATCAAAACAAAAAGCAAAAACCACCTCTCTAGCTGCATTTTGGAGAAAGAATGGAACAAGACAGCAAAGCAGACATAGCAAGTCACTTGCTACGCTGTGTGGCCATCCAGGAGAGGAAGGATGACACTTGAATGGCAGTGCTGGTGGAGACAAGGAAACAGGGACATGACATGGAGAGGGTGCAGGAAGGTGTCTAAGCCTAGGCCTTGTCGCTCAATGTGGATGGATGGGTGGATGGATGGTTGATTCACTAGGTCAGGTCTTCTGTTTAAAATATCTCCGAGACATCAGAGAAGAGCTGATCAAGAAAACTACCGAATACAAGCAGTGGAGTACAGAAGAGAGAATCAGGCTGGAGATACAAATTAAGGAGTCATTGGACATCGGAATCTGCCTCCCAGAGTCCAGATTTCTGCTTGGACACCTTCAAAATGACAAAAAGAAAAGCCTACCACCTCAACAGTCAGATGTGCTTTAATGAGAGAAAGATGTTCCTTATGTTGGGCTAAAAGTAAATTCTACACATTAGTCTTGATTCCATCCTTTAGACAAGGAGAACCTCTCTTCTACCCAACAGGGCATCAGGAACTTGAAGAAAACTGGTACCACTTCAATGTACATCTCAGACCTTCTGTCCAGCAAAAACTCTTTCAGTTCAACTTGATGATCTCGCCCCTGCCCATATGGTCAGCTTCATTATAAGCACAGAAACAGATCCCAGAAAACACCCACACATCCACACACATAACGTCCATGCAGACCTAGATATCTGGAGCTTTCTAAGTATGGGATGGTTCACAAACCCGTGTGCCTTTTCTTGGGCCACTGCAAGGGAGTGGATTTTAATTCCACTGTCACATGTAAAACGACGGTTCTACAGCAGGCCACTGAGACCACCGAGCAGGTTCTGGGGTACAGGTTGGACAGGAAGTACTGTGGCAGCACACATTCACCAGGCAGTACCAGGGACACACGGCATTGTACACTTGGACAGGAGCTCCTCTACATATCCAGATCAGAGGCCAATGTGGACTTCCCCAGGGCCACCGTTGGAATATTCTAGTTGGTCCTGTCTTGCAGGTGGAACCTTGCAAAGTTTCCACATAGGGACAGCGTTTCAAGGGCCATTACCCTCACCTGCTGGTAGTCAGAGGACACTAACTACGTTCGCAAACAACCCCTCGATCTAGTCCAGTCCCATGTTCCTTGGGTGGCCTTGCACATGATCATTCAGAGATCTGGGCTTCTTTCATCTAGTGGCTCCTCCGGGGGCCTTAAAGTCCTTCACAGTATCTTTTGTATTCTGGCAAGACATGAAGGAGGAGAGCACCCAGAGATCATGCAGGAGGTTTATGGGATCAGCCGATGGTTTACACTTATCATATTCCATCAGCCAACTGCAGTCCCAGCTCATCTAATGGCAGAGAAGGCTCAGAGATGTCCGTTTGCTGTGTGCCCAAAAGGAAAGGCAGCATGATTCGGTGAACACACCTGCCCTAACCTGGAGTGACCCCAGTGTGCTGTCTTCCTAAAAGCTCCAAGGATCCCCTGTTGCCTACCAAATCTAAGATGGGCTCTTGGCATTTCAAGGCTGTTTTTCAGCATGACTCTAGCCTGTCCTTCCAGCTAAACTGGTGGCTCTACTCCCAAGCGCACCCACCCTTCCCCTCCCCCATTCTTTACTCAGGCACTTTCCTCTACTTAGGGCTCCTTACATGTCTTGTTTTTAAAACTGAATCAGTTACTCAAGGTCCACTGAAGAGGTGACTCCTTCGTCCCCACTGCTCTGTGAACATTGACTTGTGCCGTCACCCTCCTCCAGATTCCCGGAGGGCAAGTGATGTCTTCTCTATTTTGTGTCACTGACAACCTCTGGGAAATGCCTAAGAGAGCACCCAATTAACCATCTATTTAGTTGAATTGAATAATTTTATTTAAACTACTTCCTTAAGGAGAAAATAAGGTGTATTTTTAGTAGCTTTTCTTTTCTGCAGAAAATGCTTATAGCAGTGGTTCTCAGTTGATGGTGAGTATAAAAATTACTTGAGGGACCTTGTTAAAAGTATTGTATAAACTTGATAGAGCGGATGCAGTAACTGCATTTTTAATAAGTGCTGAAGGGAGTCGGGTGCAGTGGCACACACCTGTAATCCCAGTGTCTAGGGAGGCTGAGGTAGGAGGATTGCAAGTTTGAGGCCAGCCTGGGCAACTTAGTAAGACCCCATCTCAAAATAAGAAAATCAAAAGGGCAGAATGCTCTGGGCTCAATTGCAGACCACAAGGGAAGGAAAGAAAGAAATATAAATGCTACAGAGAGAAGAGATGAGTCAGATCACAGAGCACCAGACTGTGCTTGCCCAAGTATTGGAAGGTGGCGTTTGTCATTACGCCCATTAATGGACCATTACTAATTTCCTCTAACAAACAGATCAGTTCATCAACAGAGCCACAGGCAGCGTGAGGAGCTGTAAGAGTCAAGATGTGTGTCACATCGCCTTTGGATCCCGAGTTCTTGGACCACCTCCACTCTCTGGCAGAAGGAATAACTTGAGGCTCTCCACAGAGGTAGGAGCACATTCCCAGCATAAGTGGCCCAGGAAGGGAACAGGAGGAAGGGGGGACAGAGGATTACAGACAAATACATAGGAGCACGTTCTTTCAAAAAAAGGAGTTGGATCTTGACCAGACACTATAGTGAATAGAGTCTCAAATCTTTTTAGTTTCCTCCAAAATTCCACCATACTCAGTGACTCCTAATTCAACTCCTACCTGCTGAAGATGGAGATAGCAAATGAGCACATTTCAGTTCACGTGTCCCAGAGACCTGCGGGTCTTCTATTTGATGTGAGGTTATTTTTCTCCTTCCATTTCTAATTCTCTACAATGACTTCCCCTTCCACCACTTTTTAACCTCATCTCCTCCAGTTTTCCCTCACTATTTATCCCATTTTTTTTCCTTTGTAGATTCTATGGGAAACAAGTATAATTCCTATAGTTTTCAAATGTGCAAATCAATTCTTCTTCCTTACAGACAGTAAGATCCGTTGGGTCCAAAAATAGCCGATCCTGCCAGCAGCCCACTACAGAGAAGTGTGTTAAGAGTGCAGAAATGTCAACCTTGCTGATATCTGAGGCTGAGGAACAAGGAGATAAAGAAAATATTCGCCAAATAAAGCAGACCGCACCTATTCATGGTAAGAAGGAGTGAAAGCTAGTGGAAATAGTGAGAAATGGTAAGATAAATCAGAAGTTATATTTGTAACTAGACATGACTAGAGAATTACCATTTAGGAATGAAAAAGGTGGTGGCTACTGAAATGTATTTAGAATTCTTATGTATATATTGTCATTCTATAGACTCCAATTTTTCAAATTGCTAAAGTACCCTGTGTTTTTGCTTTATGATAGTGATTACAGAAATAAAATAGCACCCCCTCATCTCTACAGTTTGGAAACTCCATGTACATTTTAAGTTTTCTTGGATTAATTTCTTCTTTTTTTAAAAAAAAAAAATTTTAATTGTAGATGGACACAATACCTTTATTTATTTATTTTTATGTGGTCAAACTCAGTGCCTCACATGTGCTAGGCAAATGCTCTACCACTGAGCTACACCCCCAGCCCTTAATTTCATCTTTTAATTAATCTTTTCCACTGGTAAAGGGCTCTTGATTTTCTCTCACTGATACCAAAACAGCCGGTGAGTGAAGAAAGCGCCTTGTCCCATTTTACAGACTGAGTTCAAGGTAAAGTGGTTCAGTTTGTAATCACCAGAAAGCATTGAGACCAGAATCCAAGATTTACAACTCCCTGTCACCCCTTAGCGAGAGTTGAAAAGAGGGCATTTGATTTCATTTTACTTGATTTGGAAACGAATGATCACTATTACAGACAGTATCCCCCATGGAATATCAAGCTGATATAAAGAAATTAATGACATGCATGTACAGTCCTGGCTCTACCACTGTCTGAGGCTGTAATTGTTTCTTCCACCCTCTGAGCCTCAGTTTCCTTGTCTTTAAAATGGGGATACCATTACCCCTAGTGTGTAGAGAACAGATGAGGCGGGGCACCTAAGATAGCAGGGAACAGTTTTATTTGGCTGCAGCCAGGTTCAGGGGGCACAGCTTTCACTGTAATCAATTAATCCCCTGAATCCCGAGTTCAGATAGTTTCAGAACTTTATACCCAGCATGTAAGGGTAGGGGCCCAGAAGTTCACAGACTGCAGAAGTTCACATAAAAGCAGTTTTTTCTTTCACTGTTCTGGGCAAGTTAACCCTTCAAGGACAACACCTGAGAAGGGGAGAGCTTCTTTGCCCCTTTCTTTCCGCCCCCTGCCAGCTGTTACCATGGAGCCCAGTTGGTAACTTTTCTTATCTTAGAAATGTAGACATCTCTGTGAAGCCCAGCTCCAGGCCAGAGGCCTCGTTAAAGGATCTGCCTTTTTTAAATCACATTTTGCATTTGCAAACACACTTCTACAAACTACTGTACTGAACAAATGTTTCTGAAAAATTAGGAAAAGGGGTGTTGAGCACCGGGAATGCTGATCTCTTCCAGGCCAGTGGCCAAGTAAAACAGAGCAACAGAAAAATAGGAAGTTTACCTACATTGAACTCTTTCGTAGAGACTCTTTTTCTGTTAGTCCTAAAATCAATATGGTCCAAATTTCTGGGAAAGCTTAGTTAAGACTTTCTGTGGAGGAGGGGGTGCCACTACAATAGCTCTAGTAATAAATAACAGCAGCTTCAAAGGAATATTTTGAGGATTCAATGAGAAAGCCCAGTTAGGTGTATCATATTGTACCAAGAAAGGAAACATTTGGTAAATAATAAGTGCTGCTATGAATATAATTATTAAAGAATTAAATTATACTTAAGAAGCCTTCTCCAGGTTTGACCTCAGTTCTCCAGGGTTCTTTTGGAAAATATTCTCTAAGCTTGTGTTGAAATATATACTCATTTATATATTATATACATTATATATATATATATATATATATATATATATATATATATATATAAAGGAAGAATTATTTTTCCTGTATTGGCTGTCAATTTCATTTTTTTTCATATTTCTTATATAGCATGTTGCACGATTAACATCAATCAAATTGCTTGTAGCTCTTCTATAAATGTTATCTTTCACGAATAAAATGTATCAGTCATTTTGAAAGCCTGAAACAATCCTAATATTGGAATGGAACCAAATACCTATTTTCTACTGCAGGAATAAGCTGTGTTTTTGACGGAGCTTCACACTATGTCAAAATGATACATGAATATTCTCATTACAGTGATAATTATATTTACTGAATTATTTCAAGTGATATAGCACTTTATGTCCTGGCTTTTGTTCTTTGATATGAAAATGTACCAGCCAATCTACCTATTATGCATCCACATCCCCCTCAAGAAGCATCAGCAGATAAGAATAATAACAGAAGAAGATTTCGGTTAAAAAGCACCAGCAGAGAAAGGACAGAGACACCCAGTGGTATGGCACTATTTCAATACTATCTTAGATCTGTATATTATTCAGGGCAATGGAATCTCTCCGCAGGTTGTAAATTTCAAAGGATTATGAACCAATTCATTTAAAATATAAATGTCTGTTCTGCAGGGATTATGAAAATCAAATTTTCTGCAAAAGAATTGCTCTAGAGCCCTAACAGAGATTTGCTGGATTAAATAGACAACCACAGAAATAAAGAACTGCCTGCATGTGCTCTCAAAGGCTGAATAAGCTCAAATTGTTGTTTTTTAAAAATGGCCTACATGTGATAGTTGAAGTTCCTGCCTGCAGACTTTCCTAAAATTGAACTTTATTATAATTCTTCAGATTTTTGTGTATGTCTTTTCTTTTTAAATTGGGCTCTTTTCAGATTGCTTGCTATGCTTGTGGTCTCTCCCTCTGGATTCTTGGCCATATGATATAATGTAGGTTAAAATTTAAACTCTTTGCAACCAGTTAAGCATGAGATGGTTTTACAGTTATTCCTTTAAATGCCAGATTTGAGGCATGTAGGTGTAGGTTGGTATATACACATATTATTGTATCCTGAATCCAGCCCAAAGGCTACCATGTATGCTGTGTTAGCAAATGTGTCAAAACCATGAAGGGTGGGTTGCAATTCAGCCTGCGAGGTTTCCTGTTATTTTTATAAAAGAGTAAATAGAAAAACTATGCTGCAATAATACCTGTTATCTATTTTCTTAAACAGCTAAAGAAAAAAGCTAGATTTAAAAGAGTCACATTTAGTAGGAATTATAATTTTAAAAAAGCACTCTATCTTATGTGGAACCCAAGAAAAAAATATAAGCCCCTTTAAAAATTATATGGGTTTTGGAATTCTTTTTATCACATATCATAAAACTTAAATCTAAAATGTCCCTGTGCAAATATCAAAGAATTTTAAGGTGAACAGCTACAAAAATGCAGCTGAGTTCATCTTAAAACATTCTGCTAAAAAAAAAAAAAGACCTGCATATATCTACATTGTGACCTCTCATTGTCTTTGAAAATAATCAAATGGAAAATGATACCCAATTAATACCATTCTTTAAAAACTATTCTTTATAAATATCAAAAGCAATAACAGAGTGGAAAATATTTATTCCAATAAAGGCTATTCAGGAAATATCATAAATGAAGATGAAGGAACAACTGTCCTCACCACTGGGATTCAGCAAAGAGCAGAGACGTTGAACCCCAGCACCCCAGGACCTCCGTCTCCTGACCAAGCAGGTGTGTCTTTACTGTTAAAAATTATAATTCTGCCAAATAGTTAGATCCTAGTCATTTTGAAAAGCTGTGATGTAGCCATTTGCTAGAAATTTGTGATTTTTTGTAAATCTCCTTTTTTAACCTCTCTTTTCTGTCCAATTTTAATGGATGACAAGAGTCTTTTATTTATGAATGGGTTGTTCCATTCATAATGAAACTTTAAAACTATGAAGTATTCCCAAGACAACGTGGCCCTCCCCATAGACCCTCTGTTGTTTCTTTTCTCCACCCTCTTTATAAACGGAGATGGCTGGAGCAGAGAGCACTGAGCCCTCCACCTATCTTGCCTAGCAGGTGTGTGCTCCTTTTACAAAAGCAAATTGTTTTTGAGCAAGGGAAAAAGGAAAATAAATGAAAATTGTTTGTAGTTTGTCAGTCTTATTTATGCAATGTTGAAACCTTCATTAAAATGTTAGGCGCAATTAGTGTCTCCAGCATAAATCTGACTGTGTAGAAAAACTAATTAGATGTTTAGGTGATCATTCTTGCATTTATCTTGTTTGCTGCAATATTGTGATTACACAGTAATTTACATATTTTCCTAAGAAAACACACCAAATTATTCATTACAATTGATATGGAAATACTTGAGGTAAAAATACAAATTCCAAAAAAGCATGCGGTAGTGAGATAATTAGAGTTGGTGTGGTATAAAACACTCCTTCTACTTTGACTTTTTGACAGTTAAAAATGTTTGGCAACAGGTCATATAAATTGTTAAATTGCATCATGAAGATTCCCAACAGGATCTTTTCCTCCAATTTCCTTAACATATGCATTATATAACACAACACATTCATTTTTGTAACCTTTTCTAGCATTTCTAGAGCCCCTACTATGTTCACAATTCACCTACTATGTGCCTAGCACTACACAAAAGGTTTGCTGTCCAAAATGGTGTTCCCAGTGTACTTGTTCTGACAACTATCCACAGCTACACTGACTCAGGAGCATCTACACCCCTGGGAAGGTGGTCAGGTGTGTGTTCAGCCTGCCACTGGCCATATACCTACACTCTGTCCCTGAAACCATGAAAGCCTTGTTCCCAACAGACTGTCTCTAAGACTTTGTCTATTTATCACCCTTTATATAGGCAAATCATGTTGCAGAAAGGTAGCCTCAGGTTAAGAGACAATTTTCAAAGGGTTTGATAAAAATATGTCTCAGTGGTAGCATACAGTATTTTTAAAGAAAACAAATAATGTGCAAAAAGATTTTCATGTCAAAACATTGTGTCCTAAAACTAAACATACAGGTATATTTCATGGAACAGAATTCACCACTCAGATTAACAGTATGTCTTTGGGTTTACTATTACTGAAAAGTCTACTCGTTTTAGTCTGCAAATGGCTCTATCTTCAGTCCATAGAATGGAGACAGATGTCAACCTCTGTCTAATTTTCTCTCTTCCATGATCTGTAATCATAACAATAACCAGATATTTTGTTTAAAGAAGCTTGTTAAGGGTGGTATACTGTCTTCCTGTAGTTAAAGGGAGATATTAGTAACTCAAACCCTTTCAGAGTTGGGAGATTTTCCTCCTTTGGAATGTCAAATTAATGAGGTTGTGCTATAGAGAACTTGCTGCCAGACAGGTGATAATTATTTCAGACTTACAAATTTCCTGGCCAGTGTTTCCACTCGGATGCAGAGAAAGTGCAAATGAGTTGCCTGTAGCTATAGACACTGATCTATGGATTAAATGTTTAGCAAGTTCCAAGATGGTGGATAAATTGCCTTCCTTGGCTTCTGCCTTCTTTGATAAATCACTTGTTTCAACAACAAGAAATCGTAACCCAACTAAGCTACCTAAAATATCACTTTTATGGAACACTACTCTAATTTTTTGTCATCTTTCCCAAATGTCAGATGAATGGATATTTCCTGAAAATGATGATCACATTTCCCATTTGGCATCTGGCAGCCAGTCCCTCCTGGATGACTCCTGCACTTCACACCTGTGCCTAGAAGCCAACAAGGACAGTGAACGTGACCCTCAGGCAGAGGAGACCCAGATCCTTCCAAAGGACATTTTCACTTTCTCATCTAGACCACGATCAGCACCTCACGGGAAGACACAGAATCTGTCCCCAGAGGAATGCCTGTTCACTTTGGATCTAAAAGAAGATAACAGTGGGAGAAGGAAAGACACCCAATCGGAGGATGATTTCTATGATGGTGACAGCAGCGAAGAGGTACACTGCTTGATGAGTAAAACAGTCATAAAACACAGTAGTTCCATTAGCTCTGATAAGCACTAGCACTAGTTGAAATGGGGGAAATCAACTGCTATTTATAAACATGCAGCAGATTGCTATGTCAGTCAAGGGTGGCATTAGGTTGTTATGGTAACTCTAAATTGCTGCCTTTTTATTATTAACTGCCAATATCATCTGTAATTATGGGATATAGTTATTGGCTTGTTAGGCTTTTTTTCTTTTTCATTTTAATCTTTTTCCCACAGTATGAGAAACAATATACAATTTAGTTATAAGATGGAAAGACCCGTGAAACACTGAGAACACATCCTTCTGGATCTCTGGGGACATTTTTTGCATCGCAGTCGCTAGGCATTCTGAACGGATGGTTTTCTGACTTTCTTACTCCCCTGCCGTCTTTTCACCTTAGACCCATTAGGACTCATTATTTTCCATATGGCCTCAGAATTTCAAGAACTGTGCCAATTAAAGTTGAGACAATGAATCATGAATTAGTGCTGGGACTTGCCTTAACAGGAGGTTTTCTGTTTGGAATTATGTAGACTCTAAATATAAGTTAGTCAATTCATAAAGAAAAAGTTTTCTTAAAACTTGTTGAAAAATCATACTGAATATAGTTGGGAAACATTTGTTTAAAACCTAATACATTATGATAACGTTTCCTCCATATGAAATGAATTTATATGTGAGATTTTTTTTTAGCTTTCTTCTCAACAATAGCCATTCGTATTTGCTGGCGGAAAAATTATTTTAAAGGCAGAAAACAGTCAAGTTAAGGATTAATGAAAATATACACATCACTTAATATATAAATTATAGAAATAATTAGAAAATTTTTATGTATGCTTACAAAACTCCTTTTTAGTAACTATAATTGATTAAGAAACCTATTTGTCAGTGGGATATAGATGCAGTCCACAGATCCTAGCCTCAGAGCCAGTTGAGAATAATGGTGGGATTGTTTAGGCAATAATTATGGGGTTTTGTAACTTTTAATGAGTTCCTTCAGCAAAATACACGGAGGATACTTTGTTCACACTATGCTTGCTTCTGACTGTAATGAAACAATTAGTCACGCCAAACTGTAAATCTACCACAAACCCATTATACATAAATTCTGCATTTGATGCTGGCATTTTAAATGTTTCTGTTGAATATATTTTTCCTTTCACCCTTAAAAATATTAAGCTGTAAAAACGGTAAAATGGACATTTGTCTTTAGCATCTAGTAGTGTCCCCGCCCCAGCCACCAATGCTTCTGCAGGATGAGTTGGCTCATCTCATCAGTTCATACAGCTCATTTTCTTAAGGGGACCCAGTTTGTTCCCTTTCCAGGGGCACACAGCTGTCATCTCTCTTACCTGACACAAAAGACTTACTCTAATGGTGGAAATTCATAGCAGGTGGGAAAGGTGGTTCCTTGGGAGACCAGGAGGGAAGCATGATTGGGGAACTTCCCTTTAAATAATACCACACAAGGAACTTACCCCTTCCATCTATGTGAAGGATAAGCTTTGAGAAGCAACAGACCTTCAGGAGAAAATGAACATTTCAATTTTTTTTTTATTTTTTTATTTTTTTTTTAGTTGTCAATGGACCTTTATTTATTTTTATTTATTTACATGCAGCACTGAGAATCCAACCCAGTGCCTCACACATACTAAGCAAGTGCTCTACCACTGAGCCACAGCCCCAATTTAATACCACTTTCCATACTGTCTTGCTACTTGTAACATCCTTTAATGTTTATTATGTGTTTATTACCAACTACGTGAAACTGAAAAAAAATTTGTTGTGCACCACCCAAGCTCTCGCTGGCATAGTGGTCTGCTCACCCCGTGCTGGGCCTGCTACTGTGACCAGTGTGATGGGTTAGTGTAATTTAAGTTGCTAATAATTCACATCTGAGATCTTGGTGTGAGTGTGGTTGGAGTCTGTGGCAGGCCCATCTCGTGCTGGCATCAGCCTCGCCCACCTTCACTTGGAGCCTCCTGAGTGGCAGCCTGGAAGGTCAAAAGCCTCGCCATGCTGTCAAGCTTTGGGATTTGCTGTTAAGAGAGAATACCAAGGTGCAAACCAAGATACAGAAATACTGCCAGGTGTGGTTGCGCACACCTGTAATCTCAACAGCTGGGGAGGCTGAGGCAGGAGGATCGTGAGTTCAAAGCCAACCTCAGCAATTTAGTAAGGCCTTAAGCTACTCAGGGAGACCCCGTCTCTAAATAAAATATTAAAAAGGGCTGCGGATGTGGCTCGGTGTTTAAGCACTTCTGGTTCATTCCCCAGTACCAAAAAAAAAGAATAAAGAATAAAACCTCAGTTTAAAAAAAAAAAAGATACAGAAATACAACAAACAAAATATGTGGGACTATATTGGAACAAGTTCTAGAATTTGTAATGGTCCCTTCTTTAACAAATGGGTTTTCTTCTTCCTTTGTTGTTGATTGTTTTTCCTTCTGTTTTTAGCCATTATTTTTCCTGTAGGATAACTTCTCCTATTTATTAATTGTATAAATCAAGAAAAATTGGATTATCTATTTGGAATGTTTATTTACATAAAATCTTTGAAGAAAAAATCAATTTAGTTAATTAAAGAATCCTTACCATTAGTTCTATTATTTTAGAATGTTATATCCTTAGAGTAACATAATTATAGTTAAGGAAAAACCAATGTTATGTTACAAATAACAGTGGGCACACAAGTAATAATTACATTACTTACCATGCTTGAAGCTTACAACTTATAATTAAAAAACTTTATTTGATATTAGACCAGTGAGTATTTTTAAAGGGAAATTGGGTATATTCAGTGGCACATAAAATAGATATAATCAAATGATTATTATGATAGAAGAAAAGTACACATTCAATAGTAAAGGCTAATCACAATAAACTTTCAGTGACTGAAATTCAGTGATTTGTAATTTAAGTTGCTAATAATTCACATCTGAGATCTTAGTGTGAGATATCTCAAGGCTACCAGTGCCTTGGGGGGGGGGGTCCTACGTATGAATTTTTTGCATATGCTCATCTTACTCTTTGCTTCGTGTATATTTTATTCCCTATACTTCCATATATACTAATATGCCAGGTATTCAATTAATTTTGAAGTTGCACTCTTATTTGAAAAGCACACAAGCTGGGGTAGTGGCTCAGTGGGTGCATTTGCCTAGCATGTGGCACTGGGTTGCATTCTCAGCACCGCATATAAATAAATAAATATAAATAAGTAAATAAAGGTCCATTGACAACTAAAAAATATTAATAAAAAAAGAAAAGCACATCATTGAAATATATTTCGTGGTGAGCTCTATAATCAAAACTAATGTGTAAAATGAGTTATCTTAGAAAATTCATTAAAACAGAGTACCTTCCACGCTCCGGCAGAATCTGGAAGAAATGAAAACGTGTTATTATTATTCTTTCCATGTTGTAGTTTATGTCATTATTCCCAGCATAGCTTCTCTCATATACACCTGGTTTACAACTTCAAATAATTAGCTTTACATTAATATTTCATTACTCCCCCAATTTAATTTTTCTTTAGAAATATAGTACTGTCACTTTTTCCCCAGTACTCTGGCTGTGTGTCTCAAGCTGCGAGGCCTTGCAATTGGTCTTGTGAAAACAGCTCAGATGGGAATATCTGGGCCCTCTAAATTACCTATATTTGGACATGAATTATGTGACCTGACTATGATCCTGTTCAGATAAGCTAGGAAGATTCCACATCTTTGCATCGAGCTGCATGAACGCCTACAGAGGCCAACCCTGCAAACAATAGATTAAACTGCCCATGAGCAGTCCCTTCTCCCAACTTTCCTGTTGCTTTCAAGATATTTTTGTCATAAAATAGTGTACCTATTTTGTTTTATGATTTTTCATGATAGAATATATTTCTGGATTAGACTTTTAAGCCATTCCCCTCTATATATTTGACTAATGATTTTGAGTTGCTCTCTTACACAGACCTATTCGTACACAATGGGAAAGAATATGTAGTCCACATGTGGCTGCCTATATTTCTAGGTGTCTTTAAAAAAAAAAAAATCTGGGCAGGGGAGGTACCAGGGATTAAACCCAGGGGCACTTAATCCCTGAGCCACATCCCCACCCTTTTTTTAATTATTATTTTTATTTATTTATTTATTTATTTATCTATATATTTATTTATTTATTTATTGAGACAAGATCTAAGTTGCCTAGGGCATCCCTAAGTCTGCTGAGGCTAGCTTTGAACTTAGGATCCTCCTGCTCACTCAACCTCCCAGGCACTGGGATTACAGGTGTATGCATCAGCTGGAAAAACTTTAAATGCCCATTTATATAGTGGATAAAAATGGAAGGGCTCTTTTTAATATGTTGCCCTCAGATTTTAACCCTGTATTTTATGAATTACAACATAACATGCTCTCTAGAACTACCAGGCAAATTTAATATTTATTCTGTAAGAGCAATCTTTTTAGGTGTTCACATCAACAAGTCTTCATTTTTGCCTACTGAAGCTCTTCTCTGTAAAGGTCAGCAGCCTCTTGGCCCCATGACTTGGCTGTACACTGTTATAGGCAGGTGACAAAGGTTACAAAACATTGCATAGAACCTAACATTCTACTATTTTTGCAAAAAGATCAACATCTTGCAGGTAAATATTTGATTGTGGATAAGATTTTTGTAAGAAATCTTTTATTTATTTTTATTTTTTTGTAAGAAATCTTTTAAAGTGTTCTCAGTTAAAAGAGCTTAAAATTTAGCTTATTGAAAAATATGATTTGTCAACAAATCACTGACAACATAAGTATATCCACATTATATCTGCTCATTAGTGCTATCATCCAACCAGTAGGTGCTGTTAGTTCACACATGAAAAGTAAAAAACTTGTAGCTCAATCTCAATTACAAATTCAAAAGCGTGTTGGGAAATTGCAAATGTGTTTTGTTACAGAACTTTTAAGAATGCTACCCAAGATTTTTTTTTT